TGGCAGGCTTCCCCCTCACCCAACGCTCAGGTAGGAACCTGGGCCTGATTAAACTGCTTGTCTGCTCAACCCCTGCCCCAAAAGGGCTTGAGCTGTGACTGTTTGTGCCCCGCCCTGACCCAGGGCCTGGGCGCCTTAACTACTTGTGTGCTCACCCCTTGCCCCGAGGGGCTTGGGCTGTGACCCGCCCTGACCCAGGGCCTGGGCCTGCTTGGACGGTTAGTTGGTGCTCAGCCCCTACCTAAGGGCTTGAGCTCCTGAACTGTGAGCCGCTCAGCCCTTGCGTACAAGGACCTGAGGCTAGACTGTCTGCAATTCAGTGAGCCGGTGTGGCACCCCTCCATCTCGGAGGGTAGAGCCCCGGCTCACCCTACTACACTATTTAATAGTAGAATCAAAAAGTTAAAGCATTGTAACCATTAACACACACATTGTCAACATCACATGTCAAAAATATATAAAGTAAATCTCCTTAAATCAAACTCTAAGTTCTCAAGCATCATTTTTCTTTCTTTGCCAATCTCTAAATTTCTGTCATTATCGATGGAAAGGGTCTTGCATTGGTTTGTGTGTGTATGGTGAAATGAACATTTACTAACAAAAATCTAATCCTTCCAAGCCTATCTATAAGTATAAGGTCTCATTAAAACCTCATCCAAAATTCCTGTCAAAGATGGTCTTGAAATTCCACTTAAATGTGGTTATATCACTACTGATAATTTTTCTCATGGACATTTATAGAGTTGCTACATCCATACATTCAGTCAACATTATGCCATAGTGAAAGCATCGAAATGACAGTTCTACAATCACAGTTTAAGTAGACCACAGTGAGTTTCCATCTCCAAAAGAGAACTGTTTGAGAATCATTGAAATACAAATGTGTACAAGCAATCGAAGAAGAAGAAGAAGAAGAAGAAACAATTATTTACTACATTCACTGTGGCTCTTTGATATTTGTTGCAGGCATACTGTATATACTTGTTCATAAGCCGATTTTTTTTAGTAAAAAAGGGAAGCAGCAGAGAAGTGGGTCGGCTTATGAACGGGTATAGAGAGGGAGAGGTGGGACACAGTCCCTTCCCCCCAACAATGGGGTCATGTGGGGGGGTGGTCACAGGGCTTACTTCCCTGACCCCCAGCTTCTCCCCCCCAAAAAATTTCCCCACCAGTTGCTATCCCAGCCCGTCAGGATAAGCAGCTGGTGTGCCGGAACACTTTGTTTACTTAGGTTTACCTCCGTGCCTGTGGATGCTCGAGGTAAATAAACCATCTTGGCCCACCAGCAGCTTATCCTGATGGCCCGGGAGTCAAAGTTTGCTGACCCCTGAATTATAGGGTCAGCTTATGAACGGGTCATAAAAAATTTCCATTTTTACTTATCCATCTTGGGGGGGTTGGCTTATAAACGAACCGGCTTATGATCGAATATATACGGTATATATTCCATTACCCACTCCCCATCCGCGTTACAATGGATTGTATTGTTACCAAGATTCCAGTGGTGAAGGAACAAGAAGCCAGTTGGAGCGGTCCTGCTCTTGCCTGGAGGTATAAGAGTATTTATGGTGTATGTGCCAACCCATTCCGTACTGCTAACCAAAAGTCTCTTGCTTGAGTGTACTGGGTGCACAGACACCTCAGTGGAATATATGTATAAAACACATCTTGAAAAACCAGGTACTGTACAAATAAGTAATTTTCTTCCAGGTGCTTAGCCAGTGACTTCTACCAGTTCAGTGGTTTGATTTTCTTTAAAATGTCAGCAATGTGTATACTGCTCGAATATTACTTTATTTGAATAATTATAATATGTTTAGGTCTTAACATATGTTATAATTTCAAATTTAATTTTAAACGGGGTTTATTTTTAAAAAGAAAACAATTAATTTAAATAAAAACCCATTTTTAATCAGTTTTCATCCTGGTCTCATATTTGTATTTATAACATATTTTAATTTGCAGATTTGTCATTTTAAGATTATAAAAATCGTAGAAACATAAATTTAATATAATTCCTGTTCATTCTAGTGGTTTAAGTGCCTCTTAAGGTATATAAAATAAAGCATATTTGAAGGTTAAATAAAATGTTCGGGTAATTGCTAAGATCCTTCATTAAAGTTCAGTTAACACAAAGTAATTGTACCACTTTTGTGTCTTCACAGGACCATTAGATATAAAACAATTATTTTTGTGTTGGTCTTAAAAACATTACTGCAATGTTTTCATTTTCTTTCAGGAGTTAGGCTACAGATGTAGATGAAATACAGTACCAAAATTCATATCTTTTGTGGGCTCCTGATACATTCCTGGCAACTTGATTTCATCCCATGGGATAAGATAATCAGAAACCCACACTTGATTTATAACTTAGTAGTCTTTGTCCTCATTCGTTATCTTTTATAGTTTGATTTCCTGTAGTAATTTGCTTTAATGGACTAGGTACAAATTTAGCTTGCCATTACAATAATTTGAATTTCTCCAGTTCTCTCAAAAAAGTGAATTTAAAAAAAAGAAACTATATCTGACGAATAATCATTTCAGAGTTCTAAATAAAATGTATTGCCCAAGCAAATACTGAAATTGTACTAAAAATTGGAGTAGAGCAGAAAATGTCAGCACATAGGATTCAAGAAGAAATTAACATGTCAAGTGCACTTAAAAGTTTGTGAAGTGTGAAATGGTATATTAGATAGGTACAAATGAAATATATGAGGTGAACTATTTTGTGGAGATGTTTATACATGAAGGGTGAAGTTAGGCCAGTAGGAATTTATGCTCAATAAGGAAGATTGAGACAAGTTATGTTTACTGTAAGAAACTTTATATCTTTTCCCAGCAGCCAGCTCAGCAAGCAGTAGGCTGTTTGCTTAAGATTTTTTCTCTTTTTCATGCCTTCCCCTAGATGGCAGACTGAGATTGAGCTGTTCACAAATAACATTTTATATGATTGTTATCATATAACACGGGATTCTCTGGGAGAAGAAATGGGCAGAGTGCAGTTTTCCTTCTGACGTTGAGACACACTGGGGAGAAGGAAGGCTATTTACCAGCCCAACTGATGTGGAGACTGGGAAGTGCTATTTGCTACATGTATATTTAGGGTTTCCTCCAGCAGACCCATAGAGATGTGCTGAAGGGTGGATACAGAGCTTCACATACCATTTCCATACACGCTTCCTCACTCTCCCTAGCAGTGGGAGGAAAATTGTGACGCTCCTGCAGAGAGAGAAGGGATCCTGAATCCTTCTACCAATCGTTGTTACTGTGATGCTGTCCTTTATGCTTAATTAATGAAAATGTCAATCATCATCCTTGATTCAAATACATGTGTAATATTTGTATAGTGTCTAGCAAAATGGGACCCTGCTCTCGGTTGGGGCCTTTAGGCATTACCATCATCCATATAGTTAATACAGTGGTTTTTAGGGTTGGGATGAGGGGCCCCTTGTAAGCCTCTCCTGCTAAACGGTGAATAAGCTCTGCCCATTTCTAATGGCATTTGAGATAGACCTCTAAAACTCCTTTGAGTCACCAGAAAGGAACAAGCAGAGTCAGGCAACCCTCGGTGGTTGCCATAGGTCAGATGAACTTCGCTAAGGTTCTGTAACAATGGGAATAGGCAGGGTGAAGCCCCACAAATCCTGTTGAATTAATAGGTGTCAGGTAGGATAAGACTTAGTGGACACCTTTGGGCTACAAAGTGGGGAAGCAGGTGTGCTCCAGCTACAGGAGTATACCTGCTTGAGTACAGTGGGGCTGAGCATTAACACCCTCACTGCCCACCTTTTCCTCTGAAAATGCTATAATTGTCAAAGTATAGTGATGTTCAAGGGAGCCAGGAGAACCACAGACAAACCAATCACCTGGCTGTGATCCTTCTTGCTTCCTCCTGATTACTTATGTTGGGAGCTAACATATCCTATACAAAGAACAGGAGTACTTGTGGCACCTTAGAGACTAACAAATTTATTAGAGCATAAGCTTTCGTGGGCTACAACCCACTTCTTCGGATGCATATGTATAT